TTAAATAGATCTCATTGCTGTTTAAAAAAAAGAAAAAGTTTAATGAAAATGTGTATTTTAAAATGCTGATTTCATGAGATTAGCCAGCCTGTACCCCATAAGAATTAAATCCAACTACCTCAAAGTGGCACCTGAAATAGTAGCAAACTTTTTTTTTCTTTTTCTTTTTTTTTTTTTAATAGACAGGGTTTCACCATGTTGGTCAGGCTGGTCTTGAACTCCCGACCTCAGGTGATCTGCCAGCCTTGGCCTCCAAAGTGCTTGGATTACAGGCATGAGCCACCACGCCCGGCCAGCAAACTTTTTTTTTAACCATGAAAGTCTATCATAAGGATGGCCTCTACCTACACAAAACTAATGGCATACGCATTCATGAACTGTGCCCAAGGGGTGAAAAGCCAAAAAAAAAAGAGGACTATTATTATGTCCATAATATTATGATGTTACTACAACACCTGATAAAAATGATGACAAGAGGTTTACATACACTATCTTCTTTAATCTTCATAATACCCAAACTTGTGAGGTAAGTTCTATTGTCATCCCATTTTACAGATTAGGAAACCCAAGCACAGAGAAGTTAAATAACCTCTCACAACCTGAGAATTCCTGACTATAAAGCAGCAAGAGATTCAAACTCAGGTTGCTTTATCCAAAGCTGGAACTCTTAACAATAAACCAGTAACAGGCAAGTGATATATATTTGTTGAAACCTAGTTTAAAAGTATTTGACCACAGGCTTTTATATTCATGCATACTTAAAAAATGCATACTGGCCACGCATTTGGGTTACAGATTCATGCCTGTAATCCCAGCACTTTGGGAGGCTGAAGCAGGAGGATTGCTTGAGTCCAGAAGTTCAAGACCAGCCTGGGCAACATAATGAGACCCCATCTCTACAAGAAAAAATTTTTAAATCAACTGGGTGTGGTGGTGTAAGCCTGTCGCCCCAGCTACTTAGGAAGCTGAGGCGGGAGGATCTCTTGAGCCTGAGACTTTGAGGTTACAGTGAAGTTTGACAGTGTCACTACACTCCAGCCTAGGTGACAGAGTAGGACCCTACCCCAATATTTTAAAAAAGGAAAAAAAATGCATACAAAATCTATCTACTCTTTGTTCCCCATCATCCAACTAGTGAAGGTATAATTAGGTACAGGCAACAGACTACCAGCAATTTGAGAGCAGAAAATATTCTTTTTTAAAAATATCTTTAATACTTTATAGTTTTCTACCAAAAAAAACAGAGCCAGAGAACCTCAGGCTAAGTAAGGCTCCTCCAAAAAAAGGAAATCAAAGCAGGTAGGACAAAGACAGCCAGGGTGAGCTACTAACCAAAGTATGTCACAGCTGAACATTCTCTCCTGGTAACTGTTCTGCAGTGCCGCTCTAAGCACTGCAGTGCTGCCAATATGAAGTCTGAGCTCATGAATGCTGTGCTGCAAAAGTAACCAACAACCAAATAGGAAAAGCTTCACTTTTCTCTACTGATTTTATTCATCCCAGGATCCCACTCTACAAGGTTTGAGAGCTAACAGAATTTGGGAAAGGGCCAGCTTAACCACTTAGTATTGAATGGAGTGCAGTATCCTACTCAATAAATGAGGTTTACTTCAGTCTCTTAGTCCTTGGAATGGGTCACATGTGTTTAAAAAAAAAGGGAGGGGATCATAATTATTTCTGATGTTCAGAAAATACCTATTACCTAACCTCCTTCAGCCAACACAAGTATCATCTGAATTACCTCTGTCTGTCTGTTATTTATAAGAACACCCACACCATTTCCTACAAGGGGGGAAAAAAATCACACACCTCTAAAAAACAAATCAACAAATGATACATTCTGGAAATAGATGGGGAAAAAAATAACTCTCTGTTTCCAAATGACCCTTCTGCAGAAGTAAGATAAAGGCTGCAGTGCATGGGGAGAAAGAAATCAACCTGGGTTAACTGAAGCAGCAGTTTCAGCAACTTGTAATACCTATGTACCTTCCCCACCATTATATAACCAAACCATAACCTTAATAGGCCATCATACTGTATGTCAACAGCTGTTAGGCACATCTAAGCTGTCAGCATTTGAGAACCCCTTCCAAAGTGGATTCAGAGGAGCATGGAGCAGGCCAAGATATGCTCATGGTTCACCCAGAGCACATGACAACTCCTTGTGAATTAAGCTTCACTCATGTAGTCCGAGTAATTTAAGCAGCAAAAGATACAGCACTTGTAACTGTAACTAGGAAATTGCACACTGTTACAGAAACACAAATGAATGCTGGTGTGGTTCCCTCACACATGCAACTCATTGTCCAAGCCATTTCAGTCTCATTCAAGACTTTGAATATTTCCATACATGGGAATTGCATAACTGCACACCACAAATGATCAAAGATAAAAACCAACATAACAGTGACACCCGTTTGTAAACACGCCAATGTTTAAAATGTTGCAGTCCTAAGGGATACCAAGGTCTCAGAGAAAAACTATGAAAAACACACGTACACATACACACACACACATGACAATGAGAGAGCGGCCAGACCAGCCATAATTAGGCACCGGCTTTGCTGACTACTGAAGATAGAAATGTCTCTTTTAGATTAAAGCCAACAATCAACTGTTTGCAATTACATTTACAAAAACATTCAACCCTGTCTGTAACAGATTTTATCAATATTTTGGTGTATCCAAGGGCTGGAAAATTCAAAATTCTTTAAATCATGAAACCATAAACCAGGCAACCAATTAAGTTCATAGAGACTATCCCCCAGAGGTCAGAGCAAAATAACCACAGGAGCACAAAGTGATTACACAGAACATAAGGAGGAAAAAAAAAAGGAAACAGCACAACAAGGAACAAGGCATATTGTTTGTAAATAGAAGTTTGCCTTGGCTGATAGTAAACTAGACTGGAAACACGGTGAGGGGCCCGGTGGCAAGTAAGGAAGCACACCACAGTCTTGGCTCAATCGACTTCCCCCGACTTCCCCATAGGGTCTGAGGGAGCCCTGGACTTTGGTATCTCATCCAGCTCTGACCTGCAGACTTGAGGCCCTGTGATAAAAACGGGCAAAAAAGGCTGAAGAGGGCCCTCCAGAGGAAGTGAAACTGACCAATCAATTCGCCACAGCCACCCACCCCGACACACTGGTAAGAAGGGCCCCTTGCAGCCTTTGGCAGAAAGATGGTGGGGAAGGAACTTCAGGTTGCAAGCTATCAGGAGAGAAGGCCTAGATAAGTCACTGACTTCGGAAAACAAGCCACGGCCATAAAAGCAAAAACAAGGTAGGTCGTGATAACCAGAGGCTAGGCTGAGGAGGTGAAGGGGACTGATGTGGCTTTGGTAAGAGGCTGCAGCAACTGCAAGCGTTCTTCATTCCTCAGGTTGAGGGAAAACACAAGCTGCAGTTTCAAACATAATGAATGAATACATTAAAAGTATTCATTCAGGGGAGATATTGAGCAAAGAAAATTCTGGAGTAGGCCGGGCGCGGTGGCTCAAGCCTGTAATCCCAGCACTGTGGGAGGCCGAGGCGGGTGGATCACGAGGTCAAGAGATCGAGACCATCCTGGTCAACATGGTGAAACCCC